TTTTTAAATGTATGTAATATAGGGATTTATACAAATTGGGCGCCCTCCCAATTTTAGGGCCCTAGGCGACCACCTTGCCTGTTTGTGCCTAGGACCTCCCCTAAACCAAGTAATCAAAGATCAACATATATTTCTCCTTTTTTCCCCTACATCATCTGGTATTGGCCTCCACCTTCAGGACGTATAATGTAATAATGGCTGCAACCTTCAAGATCGACGTATATTATTGATGGTGCTCTCCTGCACACCATTTTAAGAAGTTAAGGTGTGTTCAAATATACCAAAGTTTATTTACGAAAACATTAATTTTATTTGTACTACATTTATTGACTTTGTTGACTACTCTAATAGGGTGGGCCTTATCAATGTATGTGGGGCCCATTTGCATTAGAAATGTGGTTAACAATGTGTTCAGTAATTGGGATACACATTGCACCACTCTTACGAAAAAGATGAATTTAAAGGAGAGAAACATTTGCAATGTTTAATTTTAAAATTTACCTCATTTGGTAAGTAGGAAGAAGATAGGAAATTATAAATAGTTATTTCATCAGTCATCAACTAAGCAAAGCTTAATTAAATTACCTCTAGAACTTGGTGGCCTTCTTTCTCTGCCTTCTGGGCATATTATTTTTAGTCTTTCTGAAAGTTTTTAATATGAAGGAATTAGAACTTAAATTATAACATCACATATCTTGTATTTAGAAAGAGAAAAAGCTCTAAAAATACATGTGGTTTAGTCAGTCAGATATATGGAAGAAGATGAACAAAGTAAAAAAAAAATCACCTATGACTTTGTGGCTCACTGCTTGATGTTTGGGGCTCATCTTTTAGACTGAGTGAAGATAATGGTTTTGAAAGAACCTCCACAGGATCAGCCTCAGCCTCATGGGAGCTGCTCGAATCCACCGGCATTCTAACCGGGACAACTGCGTCTCTGTCGCAATTGAGAAACAATGGATGATTTAAGCCATGCTAGCACAAATGTACTGTTCTATTAAACTTGAACGTTTGTCAAATCCCTATAGACATACCCATCAACACATCTGAGCAGGCAAAGGTTCATCTCAGCGGTTGTATAGCTATGAAACATGATCTCAAGCCGCTTATCAAGTTCGGGAGTATCAGAAACCGGAAGAACATCCCAAATCTTCAAAACCTGGACATAATCTGAATTCTCCTGGAGAACATCTACAGACCAAATGAGATTCAGCAGCCCTTTAACTTTGTACTTCTCTAAAACTTGAGCACAAGTCCCATGGGCTGTAGTTCTTTTATTCTTGCGAGATTGGCGCCAACCATTGGAGAGCTTTGTTAATAAGGAAACCACTTCCCGACGGATCTCAGTGTCTTTAATCTTTTGTATGGAATTCTGAAATTCATTGGTGAAGCAAACCTATACAGGAAGAAGATTGATTTAATGCTACAAAACATAAAATCTGAACTCAAATATCCTAAGCACCAAGCCACTAAAAGAACGAATTCGCCTTTAAAGAGGCATGCTGCCCCATTCAAAGGAAATTTGTGCATTCTATAAGCTTTGATTGATAATGTTAGGTGCAACAGAACACTATATATTGGAGGCATGCAGAACAGCAGTCCAATATAATTCGAACGAAAAGGAAACGTAGCAGTGCACCTTCCATTTGGCATTTTTGAACAGCAAAGAATCAGAATTAAGTGGAATATGAAGTTGGCCAAGCTCCATGAGGGCAACTGCAATGGCCTGAGCCAAGTTCTTTTCCTCAGCAGCATTATAAAAGCATTTGCGTTTCTTTGCGTCAAGAATTAGCTTCTTCCAAATAGAGTTACTTCTAATCAAAGTTGCTTCATTCCCCAAAATCCAAAGACAGTGCCTACAGACACAAAGAAACAAATCAACTTCCTCAGAAGCACCAAAAATTTCAGACAGTATAAGCTACTACATGTACAACCGCAATGTGACAGAAGCACCTTGCACGTGTTAGCATCACGTTTGCTCTTTGAAGATTGGAAATGAATCCGACATATCCTTTCTCGTTACATCTGACTGTGGAGATAATTATCACATCATCTTCACCACCTTGGAATCCATCAACAGATTGCACACTTACAGAGAATCCATCAGTGTCAGAAACTTCACTGTATTCCCTGACTCTCTCTTGAATTGCATTAACTTGAGCTAAGTAAGGTGATATTACCCCAACACTAACCTTCTTTTTTGTTCGAATAAATTCTGCAGTGCATAAAAAA